GCGCTCACGCAGCGCCGCGCTGCTCCACACCACGCTGCACCGCGCTGCACCGCAGCGCCAGCACCGCCACCCCGCGCTCACGCAGCGCCGCGCTGCACTGTGCTGCACCGCAGCGCTGGCACTGCCACGCCGCGCTCACACAGCGCTGCACCGCAGCGCTGCACCGCAGCACAGCACCGCACCCCGTGTTCACACAGGGCCCCACTGCACCGCAGCACCAGCACTGCCGCCCTGTGCGCCCACAGCGCTGCACCGCAGCACAGCACCATCGCCCTGCGCTCCCACACCACAGCACAGCACCGGCACCCTGCGCTCCCACACCACACCACAGCACCGGCACCCTGCACCCCCACACCACACCACAGCACAGCACCATCGCCCTGCGCTCCCACACCACACCACAGCACCGGCACCCTGCGCCCCCACACCACAGCACAGCACCATCGCCCTGCACCCCCACACCACACCACAGCACCGGCACCCTGCGCTCCCACACCACACCACAGCACCATCGCCCTGCGCTCCCACACCACACCACAGCACCATCGCCCCGCGCTCCCACAGCGCTGCACCGCTGCACCGCACCAGCACCACCCCGCCGTGCTCACACAGCACCGCACTGCACCCCAGCACCAGCCCCACTGCTGGCACCGCTGCCCCACGCGCCTGCCCGCCGCTATGGTGCCAGGCAGTGGCCGGGGGCATTCGGTGGGGCTGCGGCGTGGGGAGGCCACCCGGGCGGGCAGGCGCCAACGCGGCCGCGGCAGCTGCAGCCCGTGCAGGGCCGCGGGGCCATGGCAGTGGATGCCCTGCGCCGGCGTCACCGCGCTCTGGCCAACACCTCCCCGCATCCCTGCATCCCAGCGCCGGGAGCAGCCAGGAGCAGCCCCAACGCGGGGCACAGCTTGGGAGCGCCAGGCGGCGCAGGGCAGGCACAGCGGGCACGGCGCATGGCGGCCACGGCGCAGCTCCCTCCCAAATGAGTGGGACTCCCAAATGAGGGCGACGGGCTCTGCGGTCGCCACCAGAAACGGGTGACGCGCAGAGCAGGACGGTGCAAAGACAGGGGTGCAGGCGCCGGGAATGCCAGAGTCGCCACGCAGGAATGTGGCCCCGCGGCCGGAGCTGCCCGGGCAGTGAGCGGCGGGTGGCAGGAGGGTGGTGGGTGCCCATCTCGCCGCGCAGCACCCGCAGCTCCCGGCCCCGTGCGCCCTGCTCTGCTCTCCCTGCCCGCCCTGCACACGAGCCTGCAGGGAGACCAGAGCCCGGCGAGGGACAGGCTTGCTGCCGGCTGCGCCCGCGGCTCCCGGCTGTGCCCGCGGCGCCCAACGGTGGCCACGGCCTCCCGGCTGTGCCCGCAGCCTCCCGGGCGCCGGGGCCGCCGCCAAAGCGCTGCCAGATCTGCATCCGCCAGCCCCCCCGACGCTGCCACTTTGATGAAACGCTGTTTTTACCCGACAAGAAAACAAGAACAAACAAAGTTCTGTGCGTTTCCAGAAGCAGCTGCAGCCACTGGAAACTGGGGCACCCTATTTCCACAACGCAGCACCCGATTCCGTGACGGCTGTCAAAGCTTTCACATATAAAGTATTTACTGTTTCCACAAGCCTCACTTGATCTAACCCAGGAGCGAGAGCAGCTCCGAGGCGCGGCACGGCCAGGGCAGAGGCGGCGCGCGCGGACGCCCCCGGCACAGCGGGTAGCCGAGGAGCGCGGCGGGCACCGGCACCCAGCGCCGCGGGACGGTGCCAGGCGCCCTCCAGGCGGGAAGGGCGCAGGAGCGTGCGGGGGGGCTGCCGAGCGGGCACCGTGCGGGGGCTGCGGCGGGAGCAGCGCGTGGGGCGCTGGCAGGAATAACGCGGGTGTGTGGCGGGGGCTGCGTTGGGAACGCGGGGCCGCTGTTTCCCAGCCGTGGGGACTGCCCCTGCGGCGGGGCGGCGGCGCCTCCCCCACGGCCGCCCCGTCGCGGCACTGCCTCTCGGCGAACGGCCCACACGGAGCCGGCGCTGCAGCGCGGCGCCCTCCCCGCGGGCCCGCCGCCCGTTACCGCGGCCGCGCGCCCCTCGGGTGCCCAGCGCGGCTGCGAGTGCAGGGCTGCGGAGCTAGAGCTGTGCAGCGGCAGAGCATCCCGCCCGGAGCTGCCCGGCTCCGGCTCCTGGCCCCGCGGCGCCTCCTTCGTCCCGCTGCAGGTAGGTCCCCGCGCGGCAGCCCCCGGGGAGGCCGTCCCGCTCCCGTAAACACACGGGATGGGGGGAAAGCCCCAAGGGGAGGGACGGGACGGAGGGAGGTTGGCGCGGGGCGGCTGGATCCCTGTGACGCTGACGCCGGACGCGGGCGCCGGGGCCGCGCGAGCGGAGCCGACACTGCAAGCACCGGCGCTGCCACGGCCTCCCGCCGCCGCCCTCCGGGCTACTAACGGCGCGGGGCTCGGCTGCTCCTGCCTCTGCTCCAGAACCCCTGCTTCCCACGCAGAAAGCCCCGCTCCTCCAGCTCGCACTGTGCACAATTTCCGTTCCTGCTGAGCAGCGGCTCCTTAGGAGCCTCCTTTCCCAGGCAGGGTATGCCTGTGTCACGCTCCAGCGTGGAGGCTGAGCTGGGAGCACAGGGACGCCGGGCAGCCCCAGCTCCCCACAAGCCCCACGGCTGCCCCACGCAGGGCAGAGCGCCCCGGGGGCAGCCCTGTGAGCCCCACAGCTGCCCCACGCAGGGCAGGGCGCCCCGGGGGCAGCCCCAGCCGCGCTGTCTGCCATCCTCACGGCCGCCGCGCTGCCCGTCGCGGTGCCACGGCCCGGCCCGCGCTGGCGTGCCGGAGCTGCGCGCGCTGCCGGTCCCACGCGCTGCGGGTTCCGCAGGCACCGGCGGCTGCCCGTCCCGTCCCGTCCCGCAGCGGCGCCAGCCCGTGCCCAGCCGCCCCGCTGCTCCGGGAGGAGCCCTGGCCAAGCAGCTCGAGGAGGACGAGGAGGAGGAGGAGGATGAGCGCAAGGACGAGGATGAGGCCGGTGACATGGAGCCGGGCACCCGGCGGGAGCCGCGGCCCCGGTTGGTCAGCGGGGGCGGCACCTCGGTTGGGGGCTGCGCGAGCGGAAGGGGGGCCACGGGAGCAGCCCTGCCCCCCCAGCACCCCAAGGGGGGCGCCCCGTGCACCGATCCCCCCCAAACACAGATCGGGGGGGTCGCCCCGCACGGACACCCCCCTGCACTGACCCCACGGGGGGGCCCACACACCTCCCATGGGGGCACTCACCCCCCCACACACCCATTGGGGGGCGACCCCTCCCCCACTGCCTACGTTGGGGG